GGCGGCATGAGGATAGCAAAGATGGTAGAATGAAACAGACATCATTACCCTAGGTACATGTATGATTGCACAAATGGTGTGACTCTACTTTGTGTTCAACCAGAGGAGTGAAAAATTGTACTCCATTTGTGTACAATCAATTGAAGAGCATTCAGCTATAATGTAAAACTGATTAGAACAAATAAATAAAACAATTTAAAAAAATAATTGTCATCTTAGTATATGAGAGGGAATGAGTGGGAAGAAGAGGAGGTTGGTTGAAGAATGGGATGCTTGGGATTGAGATTAAATTGTAGATACAATTATGGTAAATATATGGTCAGAGTGTAATTGAAAGTGTGGACAACCAAAGTAGGTTAAACATGGTCATGGAATAAGAGGTCAGGATATTGAAAAATCCATCAGTGGGTATTGAAATCAACAGATTTGTGAAAGTGTGGTGTCCCAAGAAGTAATAATGAGCCAAGACATCTTTAAAGCAGTGGGGGTGAGTGACCTGGAGGCAGGTGTTTGGTGGTCTGTAGACAATTACAGCACAGAGTAATGGCTGTGATTACACACAGAATAGGCCATGAGGGAAAAATATGAGCTGAATTTATCCTTTCATCTTAAACAGCTAAAACATACATACATACATACATACATAAACACACACACACATATTTATATGAATGAAATGATGGTTCTCAGACACTGGACAATGGAGAAGGCAGAATGATGATCCCTACCATTGCTTCATTCTACTACCTAGATAGAATTTCCAGGTAGCAACAGAGAAATGGGATACCAGACAAAACCCAGCAGTTTTCTTAAGTTGAGGACAAAAAGTTAAGAATTGGAAAAGGCCAGTGTAACTGGAGTCTTGGGACAGAGTCCCAGAGAGGAAGAATCTCAGAGAAAGTTGTGGGTCTATAGGGAGTGCCTCTTGAGTCTTCACCTGAGCACAGGTACATGGAGGAAACTACCCAAGATTGGAGAGGAGCAGGCAGTAGAGTTCCCAAAGTTCACATGTGGCTGGAACAGTTCATATTCCCAAGGGTCAGAATGGAAAAAACCTCTGTAAGTAGGGGATTGAAGAAGGCTTGAGCATGGTAAGAAGAGACATAGAAAACCTAGGAAGAGATGTGCTTGGTGGTGCACACTTGTAATCCCAGCTACTTGGGAGGCTGAGGCAAAAGGATTTCAAGTTTGAGGCCAGCCTGGACAATTTAGCAAGACCCTGTCTCAAATTTTTAAAATAAAAAGCTGAGGATATAGTTCAGTGGTAGAGTGACTGGGTTCAGTCCCCAGTACTGCCAAAAAATGTAAAAATAAAACATAAAAAGATCAACATCAAACTTCTACGGATGAAAATTTTAAATTGATCATGTAGGTTTTAACAGGAGATTCAATGTTGCAAAAGAAAAGATCAGCGTGAGTGTGAAGGTTTAGCAACAGAACCTATCCAGAGTGGAACACAGAGAAATAAAGACTAGCAACAAACAAACAAACAAAAAACATGACCAACAGTGAGCTGTGGGGCAGTTTTATGTGGCCCAATATACATATCATTGGAGCCCCAGAAGACAAGAGGTAAGTGAGAAAGGCATAGAACAAGAAGGAGTGATAGGGAAAAAAAAAAAAAAAAAGAGGGAGAGATTTTTTTGAAGTAATAGTGGCAAAAAAATGTCTGTACTTTATAATAACTATAACCTCTCATATCTAGAAATCCCAGCAGAAGAAACATGAAGAAACTACATAAAAACACATCATAATCATATTGCTTAAAACCAATGATGAAAAAAACCATCTTTTAAGCATGAGAGCAAAAAAGACTGGAGAATTTTGGGATAGAGAGTAACAGTGATTGGGAGGTTGGGAAGCAGAGAAGATACCTAAGTGGAAATAAGAAGGTGGAGATACCATTTGGAGACAAACTTGGGAATGTTCATGTTATACTGATAATGACTGAGCCCTCCAGAAGGTGTGGGGGAAAGGCTTCTGGAGTTGGAGGGTAGTAGAGATGAGGTCAGATTAAGGGATGCAGAAACGTATCCTGGGTTAAGGATGACCTGTGCATTTTAGAGTGCTTATGTCCAATATAATGTGATTAGTCTTGATGTTCTCCAAGGTGAATTGGGGTGGRAAGACTGTGACATTGTAGGGATCGAGGAGAGAATATTGTCAGGAGCAGAAGAGCTTGTCTTCATTCCATCTGATGGAATTATGGAGCCTGGGCAAGGATGGTCCTCCCAGGTGAGCTTTGTGGCAGCAGCTGACTATTCCCTGCTTCGTGTATGTGTTTATGGAGATTTACACTTCTATATCTAGTGGGTACCCAGTAAAAGGAACTATCTCATCTATTGAAAGGAAGCTTCCTGCAGTGTCTGGGTGCCATATTGATTTATTTTTATTTTCAATTATTCTTGTGTAATGAAATTGTTCTGATAATATTTTTCATCATGGTATTTGTATTCATATCCCAATACTGTGACCTTTGAAATATGCCTATATAGAAGATCTACATGACTATTTTTTTCGAATAGTGAACACAAACCATTTATTATCAGTGTCTAATATTATATATACTATACCTATTGTATGTACTATACTTTTATATGATTAGCAGTACAGTCTACTGTTTTGCTGGAGTCCTTATAACTTCTCGTCCCTGGGTGAGATGACATCTTTTTGATTACATGGAATTACATTCATGCCATGTCCAAGTATGAGTAACATGAAGAAAGCATTCCATTCAAGATTGGGTACCTAACTGGGATAGATTAAGCAACACTTGGCAACAATTAAACAAGAAAGCTTCCATGCTGTGTAAGATTGTTTTAATCAGCTTTTCACAACTTCTTCATTCTTTAAAGTTTATAGTAGCTATTATATTGTCATGCATTTGATTAAAAAGCACAATTTAGTAAAAAGTGTGTTAGCCTTTAGTAGTAACAATGAAAATCTTGGTTATTTGGACCATATGGCTGTAAACAATGCCCCACTACATGTTTACTGGCTCTTACCTTAATTACAAAATATTTAGGAAAACATAAGCATTATGTATAATGTAAGCTTTTTAGGCTCCCAAATCTATAAAATTCCTTTTGGTATAACCTTATAAGATCAATGTTTGCAATTTTAGGATATTTATCACTGTGTATGTACTTTTCATTAATTACATTCTATTTCCTGTGGCTATAATGTGGTTTTAAAATCTATGCTTTGTTAGTAGAAGCAGTAAATGAGCAATATGTATGCATTACTTGTTGCAGAGAAGCACAATTATCTGTGGTATTTCTTCTGCCAAATTATATTTATAATATTCAGATTATATAAGAATATTATAAAGTTAACTCAGTTGATATCACAAATTATTCTTAGTGTAGCATTTATCTGCCTAATCTGGATCTCAAATTTATTTTCCTTGCTGTGTTTGACATGTGTAATTATAATTTTGTTGACTCAAAATTGAAGAAGCCTTGTGAAAACCAAACGTTTAACCCCATACTCTCTACCAAAATAAATTTTTTTTTTTCTGGAAAAAACCGAACATTGCATTAATCATTTAGGTTCATTGTTCATATGAAATGATTTCAAGGTGATAACTGGATTTGGGAAAAAAATTGAAGGTTGTGACCATCTGTACCCAGACTTGTTATAAGCCACCTGTGTGGTGTGGCTGCCACAAACAGTAAGATAATATTAGTTCAGTATTAACAAATGTATTGCATTCCAACAGTAGGAAGACAGAGTTCCATTAGTTATCCTGTCAGTATTGTGTCTATTTCTGGTTACCTTGTTTGTACACCAAACATATTTGTATATTCTTTTTTGCCCCTTTTATCCACATGACTAACATTGGCATACATTTTAAAAGTAACTGATTATATTTGAATGCATATTATTTTCTGAAGTTCTAAGCCATGCTTTTTATTTTTTAACACCATTATCCTTTAAGCTGAAAACCATCTGATAAATTAAAAAAAAATTTAGAAAACTGTTATTGTATTAATCACAGAGTCCTAAGGGATTATTTTCTTTCTTTTTTTTTTCTAAGTGAGGGAGAGAGAATTTTTTAATATTTATTGTTTAGTTTTCGGCGGACACAACATCTTTATTTGTATGTGGTGCCTGAGGATCGAACCCAGCGCCCCGCGCATGCCAGGCGAGCGCGCTACCGCTTGAGCCACATACCCAGCCCATAAGGGATTATTTTCTATGACCCCATAACAAGCATTAGTATGAGTTTGTCCTGATTATTAGATAAAATATGTAGTTGGCCAGTTACTTTTTTTGAGAAAATTTAAATTAATATAGTTAATTAAATTAAAACTTAATTGCATCTGGGCTTGGTGGCACATGCCTGAAATCCCAGCCGCTGGGAAGGCTGAGGCAGGAGCATGGCAAGTTCTTGAGTCAAAGCCAGCCTTAGCAACTTAGCAAGGCCCTAGGTAACTCAGTGAGATCCTGTCTTTAAATAAAATCAAAATAGAGCTGAGAATGTTGCTCAGTGATCAAGTGCCCCTGAATTCAATTCCCCGTACCTATCCACCCCCCCAAAACACCTAGTCACAGTACACCAATAAAAATAGTAATAATCTGTCACATTAAAATACTCTTTAGGGACAGAATAGAGGTTTTTTTTATTAGCTCCTTACATTTAAAAATTAGAATTTTTATATTGGAGATACAAAGTTAAAATATCTAGTCTTTTAAAATTATTTTCTATATTTTTACTATTATAGTTGAACAAAATATTCTATATATTCATTTTGTAAAATAAGAGTTTTAKCATTAATATAATAATTCCAGTTTTCTATTAAAATTAAAATCATTTCGTTTTCAGCATGTAGGGTTGTTTGTATTCCTTTTTCATGTTGGGGGTTATAGAAAAGAGTCATAATATTAGACTATAATATTTATTACATTAGTCATTAGTAAGAAAAACATTTATTTTTAACCTTGAATTTATTTAAGTGAAAATAGAGACTAATATGGATGTTTTGGTTTCTTTATAGGACTTCGGGTGACTGTGCTTCTGACGTCGTTCCTTATGGTTTTGGGAACTGGTCTAAGATGCATACCTATATCAGACTTAATGCTGAAAAGACGGTAAATCCTCTAAGTTTTAAAAAATTTTCCTGCATTTTTATCTTTTATTATAAGCACATAGTATATGTTTAATTGTAAGTTTTTAATAAACAGTTACATTTTTATGGTCAGTGGAGGGTTACTTTGTAGAAGCATTTATTTTTTTACCCTAAGTGATGATTTGTTCAGTTTCTTGTCATATGTAAGGCACTATACCAATTGTTGTGGAACTAAAAGAACAAGTTAATTTTCATACTCTTCTGAAGCTATAATAACCATGATAGAATACACTCTGTAAGAGAGAGAGTGTGTGTGTGTGTGTGTGTGTGTGTGTGTGTGTGTGTGTATACACACACACACACACACATAGAAGAGGTATAAAATTACCCCATGAGACAAGGAAAAGTTTTAGCTGAGGGTATCAGAAAGAAGTTTTTTTGAAGGAGTCAAACTAGGCACTGAATGATGAATAGAATTTTTATTTATTTTTAATTTGTTCTTGTTAGTTATACATGACAGTAGAATGTATTTTGACATATTATACATACATGGAGTATAACTTCCCCTACTTATAATTGTACATGATGTGGAGTTATATTGATTGTGTATTCATACATGAACATAGGAAAGTTATGTCTGATTCATTCTACTGTCTTTTCTATTTCTACCCACCCCTTCATTCCCCTTTGTCTAATCCAATGAACTTCTCTTCCCTCCACCCCTTATTGTGTTTTAGCATTGCATTGGTTGTAGGTGATTGGCTTATTTCACTTAACATGATTAGTCTCCAAATCCATTCATTTACCAGCAAATGCCATAATTTCATTTTTCTTCATGGCTGATTAATATTCTATTGTGTATATATACCACAATTTTTTATCCATTCATCTGTTGAAGAGCACCTAGGTTGGCTCCATAGCTTAGCTATTGTGAATTGAGCTGTTAGAAACATTGATGTGGCCGCATCACTATAATATGCTGATTATAACTTCTTTGGGTATATGCTGAGGAGTAGGATAACTGGGTCAAATGGTGGTTCCATCCCTAGTTTTCTGTGGAATCTCCATACTGTTTTCCAGAGTGGTTGCATCAGTTTACAAACAGCAATGTATGAATGTATCTTTTCCCCCACATCTTCACCAACATTTATTGTTACTTGTGTTCTTTAGTTGCCATTCTGATTGGACTGATATGAAATCTCACTGTAGTCTTAATTTTTATTTCTCTAATTGCTAGAGATGGTGAATATTTTTCTCGTAGATTTGTTGACTAATTGTATTTCTGATGTGAAGTGCCTGTTCAGTTCTTTTACCCATTTATTGATTGGTAATTTGCTCTTTTGGAGTTAATTTTTTTGTGTTCTTTATATGTCCTGGATATTAATGCTGTATCTGAGGTGCAGGTGGCAAAGATTTTCTCCCACTCTGTAGATTCTGTCTTCACATTCTTGATTGTTTCCTTTGCTGTAAAGAAGCTTTTTAGTTTGACACCATATCATTTATTGATTCTTGATTTTACTTGTTGCTCTTTAGGAGTCTTGTAAAGGAAATTGATTCCTAAGTGGATATGATGGAGATTTGGGCCTACTTTTTCTTCTCTCAGGCACAGGGTCTCTGGTCTAATGCCTAGGTTCTTAGTTCACTTTGAGTTGAGTTTTGTACAGGGTGAGAGATAGGGTTTTAATTTCATTTTGCTACTTATGGATTTCCAGTTTTGTCAGCACCATTTGTTGAAGAGGTTCTCTTTTCTCCAATGTATGTTTATGGCACCTTTGTCTAGTATGAGATAACTGTATTTATGTGGGTTTGTCTCTGTATCTTCTATTCTGTTGCGTTGATCTACATGTCTGTTTTGGTGCCAATACCATGCTGGTTTTGTTACTATAGCTCTGTAGTATAATTTAAAGTCTGGTTATGATGCCTCCTGCTTYACTTTTCTTGCTAAGGATTGCTTTGACTAATCTGGGTCTCTTATTTTTCCAAATGAATTTCATGACTGCTTTTTCTATTTTTATAAAGAACACCATTGGAATTTCAATAGGAATTGCATTAAATCTATCTAGAGCTTTTGGTAGTATTGCCATTTTGACAATGTTAATTCTGCCTATCCAATACCATGGGAGGTCTTTTCATCTTCTAAAGTCTTCTTCGATTTCTTTCTTTAGTGTTCTGTAGTTTTCATTGTAGAGCTATTTCACCTTTTTTGTTAGATTGATTCCCAAATATTTTATTTTCCTTCAGACTATTGTCAGTGGGGTAGTTTTCCTAATTTCTCTTTATATATCAGTTTATATATCAGTTGATTCATCACTGATATATAGGAACACAATTGGTTTATGGGTGTTGATTTTATATCCTGCTACCTTGCTGAATTCATTTATGAGTTCTAGAAGTTTTTTGGTGGAGTTTATTGGGTCTTCTAAATCTAGAATCATGTCATTGGCAAATAGAGCTAGTTTGAGTTCTCTTTTCCTGTTAATATCCCTTTAATTTCTTTCTTCTGACTAATTGCTCTGGCTAGAGTTTCAAGGACTGTGTTGAATAGAAGTGGTGAAAGAGAGCATCCCTGTCTTATCCCAGTTTTTAGAGGGAATGTTTTCCATTTTTTCTTCATTTAGAATGATATTGGCCTTGAGCTTAACATATATAGCTTTTACAATGTTGAGGTATGTTCCTGCAATCCCTGGTTTTTCTAGTGTTTCGATCATGAATGAATGTTGTATTTTGTCAAATGCTTTTTCTGCATCTATTGGGATAATCTTGTGATTCTTGTCTTTAAGTCTATTGATGTGATGAGTTGTATTTACCAATTTCCATATGTTGAACCATCCTTGCATCCCTGGGATGAACCCCACTTGATCATAGTGCACAATCTTTTTAATATGTGTTTGTATGCAATTTTTTAGTATTTTATTAAGAATTTTTGGGGGCTGGGGATGTGGCTCAAGCGGTAGTGCGCTCACCTGGCATGCGTGCGGCCCGGGTTCGATCCTCAGCACCACATACAAAACCAAGATGTTGTGTCTGCCAAAAACTAAAAAATAAATATTAAAAAAAATCTCTCTCTCTCTCTCTCTCTCTCTCTCTCTCTCTCCCCTCTCTTTAAAAAAAAAAAAAAGAAATTTTGCATCTGTGTTCATCAGGGATATTGGTCTGAAGTTTTTTTGTTTTCCTTAATGTGTTTTTGTTTGTGTTTGGTATCAGGGTGATACTAGCTTCATAGAATAAGTTTGGAAGGTTTCCTTCCTTTTCTGTTTCATGGAATAATTTGAGGAGGATTGATGTTAGTTCTTCTTTGAAGGTATGGTAGAACTTGGCTGAGAAACCGTCTGGTCCTGGGCTTTTCTTAGTTTGTAGGCTTTTGATGGTCTCTTCAGTTTCCTTGTTTGAAATTGATCTGTTTAAATTTTCCATGTCTTCCTGATTCAATTTAGGTAGAATGGAAAAATCTTATCTTTAAGATTTTCTATTTTCTTAGAGTATAAATTTTCAAAATAATTTCTGATTATCATCTGTTTTTCAATAGTGTCTTTCATGATATTTCCTTTTTTGATAAATGGAATTTTGAGAACCATCATTAGGGGAATGATATTCCAAATTGGGGAACAGCAGGAGTGAAGGCCCATAGAAGACAGAAAACAGAGGCCTTTTCTGGGATGGATAGGTAGTTTAATGTGTGTGTAGCAGTGTTCGAAACTGGGGTCCATGGACTTATTCTTGTGGGATGCAAGRTATATAAAGATTTTAAGTGGGCTGGGAATGTGGCTCAGGCGGTAGCATGCTCGTCTGGCATGCGTGCGGCCAGGGTTCGATCCTCAGCACCACATACCAGCAGAGATGCTGTGTCCGCCGAGAACTAAAAAATAAATATTAAAAATTCTCTCTCTCTCTCTCTCTCTCCTCTCTCACTCTCTCTTTAAAAAAAAAAGATTTTAAGATTTTGTTCTCACTTTGCTTATGATATTAAAATTATTTTACCAGTAATAATCTGCAATAAAAATATATTTATATTGATTAGTCTATAAATTACTTAAATTGATGTTTCTCAAACTGAAGTCCTTGGATATGGCCTTGAGAGTCCTTGAGAAATATTTTCCCTTTTAATAAGATCCATAAATTATTTAAATTTGGGTGACTCTGGTCTATAGACTAAGGTGTAAGAATGGATATAAAAAGATGAGGTTAGAAAAGGATATTCTGATGATGAAAGTTATTAATATCATCCTGGAGAATTGTTCTATCTTCCCTGGCAAGGTGAAAGCCACTTCAATTCTTATACAGAGAAGTGATAGTATCAAACCTGTGTTAAGAAAACTCCTGATGGAAGAATGTGGGGTTGATTTCAGCATGTAGAGACTACCATCAGAAGACAGGAAAGATGCAGTGAAAGCCCAAGCTGAAGTCATTCTTTTGTTTATTTACTCACTTATTCATTAATTCATGCATTCAACAAAATTCAGTGGGTTCCTACTATGTGCCACACTCTCTGCTGGGAATTGGAAGTACAAGAGTGAGCAAAATAGATAAAAATTCCTACCTTGTCGATTAGGGGAGACTGACAGTAAGCTAGATAAGTAAGTGATTTATATTATAAGGAGTAGGGGGAAATAGAATAAGAAAGAAAGCTTTGAAATGTTGAGGAAAGGATGGCGAGATTTCAGGAAGACCTTATTGGGAAGATAATCCTCTGGGGTAAAAACTGGAAGGAAATTATAGATGATGTAGTATCTAAGAGATTAGCATTCTGTGTAGAGAGAACCACAGTGTAAACAGACTAGAGGGGGAAAGAGCATACCTGGAAGGGAGGCCATTGTGGCTGGAGATAAATGAGTGACTTCATGGGAAGCATAAAGCCTGAGGGTAGAGCAGTTATGGGTGGTGGTGGCAAGTTGGGATCCAATCTTTAAGACCTTGTCAGCTCTTGTGAGAACTTCTTCCTCTAAGCTAGGAAATCACTGGAGTATTTAAGCTGAGGAGTATCCTGGTTATAGACTGTTGTATGGGGAAGAGACTGCAGCTGCA